CACGAGGCGGTTTAGGGTGTAGGGGGTTTAGGGATTACAGTGTTTTTTTAAGCTTTAGGGCTTGGGGTTTGGGACACATGAGGGCATACCAATGAAATATTGATCAGGGCAACTTTGTCAAATTACCACCTTGCTAGCAGTTCCACTATGAATACAACAACAGCACCTGTACGTTCGAACTGTTCTGGAATTAGGCACCGCCTGCCACTACTGCGGGGATGGAGGTGTTTTGGGAGCCCTGGGGATATTGGGATTGGAACGGATCTCTAAAAGTCTAAAACCACACACGGATAAGTTTGAAAAGTCTCTCTTTTAAAGAACCCCCTACTGAAGGCACTGCACTTGCAGCCTCATGGGTAGTTAGAAAACAGGATTGTTCTTCCTCTGCTTAGCAGCTTCAGCAACAGTATCCTCCGCATTGAAAACATCGGTTCTGGCTCATTGTTGGGGAAGCATTCAAAATGTTGAAGCATAATGCAAGTTAGAAATCGTTCTCAGCAATCATGCAGCATGGAAGTCCATGCATGGTTTAAGAATGAATGTATTGTGAGCCTTAGCCTATAGGCCATGGACCCTAAACTTGTCTGGTTGTCAGTCGGGAGGGGAGGAATGGAAAGATAAATGGAAATGGCTACTCTTTGTTAGGCAGTATATAGGGGGGTAGCATATGGATCCATTTGTCTCCATTCCCTAAACCCCAACACCCTAACCCCAACCCAGACCCCGCTTCTTCGATGAGTAGTGTTTTTTTGGTGGTTGACCCTAGTAAGATAATATTCTGTATACAAAAAACTATACCCAAAAGGAGGATATAATCTTACTCTATATTGGGTACCATAGTATCCCCGAATAAAATACTACTCAGATGAGGCAAGCATCACTGGCCGATGTTGCGGGACTGCCTGTCGCGCCCTGCTCCTCTATGGACCCCGTGCCGGCCATTTTGCTTCTGCAAATCTGCGCGGCTGCAACGTGTGGGGGCTGAGGGTAGGCACAGGGGTCTGAGAGACGGGATTCCGGTCCAGGGTTTCGGGTTTACAGAGATTGGACCCTAAACCCTAAACTTAGGTTCCTTAGACTTGTGTTTCCCGCCCGAGCCAGGGGTGGGTCAAGGTCTACACTTCAAGTTGGGCTCGGAACGGGGGCATGAGAGGCTTCGCATACTGGCGTTTACATGGGCAAATACTGAACAAGACTTCAATACTTCCAAAATGGTCATGACAGGAAGAAAATATTCAAATAGGGAGTTGTCATTGAGGGTTCCATGAAACCCGCTGCATGTAGGGGCCTTCGGCCCTCAATGTAGGGTTCATGTGCTTTTGGCGACTCCTACCAATTTGCTTATAAATATGCTGGCGAGTCCAGCAAAGTATGCCGAGTCCTCCGTGTTGCCGGAGTGATTGGTTTCTACACTACAGTCACAAGAACAACCGGATGGCGAGGCTTGGTACAAATGCTATACTGCAAAGGATACACCGATTTCTGCTGCCTCCGGTGCAGCTGCTGTTTGTTTCTCATATTCGTGCATGTCAGCCTCCTTTTACTAATTCTCTTGAACCGTTTGGGACACTGGTGCACCTTTCTGCTCTCAATTTCCGTCTCGATGTCGCAACTCCCAGCCACGGAAAAGAAAACCAAAGAAACCACGGCAAGCATCAGCCCTATGCCTTAGATGACGGTCCATGGTAGGGCCAACAGTCTGAGTGCAAACCCACACGAATTAGCCTCCTTTTTCCTCCTGTTGTTGACTTAGAATAAGGATTGGTAATGTCTCAAGCATAGAACCACGAGGAAAGGTAGGGAACACAAAAAGCTCCCACAGTTTGGGCAGCTCAGGCGTTATTTTGAGAAAGTCTCATTGCTGTCACGAAGACGCAACCTCTTTCAACCCCTGCGTTGGAAAAGTCAAGTTGAGCCACGCGACCAAGCACTTAGATCGTTGGCTTTCATAGGTGACTTGTATAAAATTCCTGGACCACAAAAGCATGTAATCATAGCCTATTCGGCTCTTTTTTGGGGTGTTGGGCCCCTCTTTTACTTAAACCCTATACCTTACCTAGCTTTTAATGTCCAGGTAAACAGCAAACCGGCACTGAATAAGTCAGGCGCAATTCATGGCTGGCTGATCGTGGCGTTCCTGGGTCGTGGTTTCAGTCATGTAGGCTTAAGGCTTAGGATTAGATTTAGGGTTTAGGTTTCAGGGTTTAGGTAATGCTTAGGGCATTTTAGGATTCAGGTCAGAAAAATCTGAAAATTCATCCAAGGCTGGCGAGCCAGCAAGAAGTGACTATTACACTTGGACAGTTTTCAAAATCCTCCCTTTTAAAATCCTGATAGGAGCCCTCACAACCCGTGTAGCCGTATTTGTGGACATCTCCAAAAAAAACATTTGTACGAAATCCGACGAAGCTTCCTTGTGCACGCCAAAGAGTCCGAATCTGCCAGTAAACCTAGTTGGGTTACGTGTTTAGGGTTGTGGTACTGGAGGGACCCTTAATGGGACCCTTGTTGCATATGGCGGGGATACTAGGGCAGCCACCTAGGCATATAAGGCAGGGCCCCTTCCATTAGCCCGGGAGGTTGCGGTACTAATAGCACTTATAGTTTCACATTTCTTGTTGCGATTCAGCAAAGTAAAGAAAAGAAAGCACATGTCGATGTTCCCTATGGACTTGGTATATACCATGAAAGAAACACAATTATGTATTCCTTGTTGGGTTTTACTACAAAACAACCCTGGGGCTCCAGTTACCTAAATAATGGGAACTGGGTTCTATGTACCCTATACTAACATATCCCAGTGACCTACTATTTGGGGAACTAGGAGCCCTAAACCCTAAACCCAGGCAAGTTTAAATTCATGTTGAAGAATGGCCCGGAAGCCAGCCCAAGATCATGTTGCTCATGTCCCATACCTTGCTGCTGCTTCTGACTCAGCAGGGTTTAGGGTTTAGGGCTTAGGGCTTGGGGTTGGGGACTTCAGGCTACGCAGGCAGGGTTTGGGGAATAAGGTTTAGGGTTCTGGGCCTGCAGTTTAAGGTAAAGGGTTCAGGGTTTACTACTTTGGGGTACAGGGTTTAGGATTTAAGGCTTCGAGCTTCCTACAGAAAAGTTCAAGGACTGGGGGGTTGGGGTTTAGGGTGGAGAAGTTAGACTTTAAGACTGGGTCCCAATGTCATTCCTATCTAACCAGCATTTTCCGGGAGCTTGCCTTAAGAACTTCTCCCCAGCAGAGCCACATTATTAATGCAATCTAAAAGTAGAGGCTCGCATTCTGCCAGCTCTAAACCCTAAAGTCCCATACACAGACCGACTAGATGCTGTCTTAGACACTTCTCTCTCCACTCCAACTTATGCACCAGAGAACCCTAAACCCTTAAGCCTAAACTCCAGGCCTTCAACCCTAGGCCCTGAATCCTAACAACCACAGGTACAGTAGGTGAAGAGGGATAGTTTAGTTCACCCATCCCTAGAGTAAGGCCACCCCTAAAGTAAGGACCCTCAAACTATCACAGGACTGTTATGGAGTTCCAATTTTTCAGGGTAAGGGTTACTGAAGCCCTCTTATTTTCCATACCCTAAACCCTTAACCCTAAACTCGAAGTAGGTCAAGGACAAGTAAGGCACTGTCAGGCCCAAGCCCATGCCGATTAGCTTGATGATGTACCTCGGTTGGAAGTCTCCAGAGGCTAGGGTTCAGGGGTTTAGGTTTTAGGGTGTTTAGGGTTTAGGGTTTTAGGGTTTAGGGTTTTAGGGTGTGGGCCCTGTAAACACTAATTTGTAGCGGATTTACAAGGATTCTATTTAGATTAGGATGTGCTCAAACCGACCCCAGGATAGAGGTCTTATAGTAGCCCCCCCCCCCCCAGCATTGCAATCCTTATCATGCGAAGGCCGTCATGGGGGACCCCTAAGTTTTGGATGCCCTCAGTGCAACAGGGCCAAAAGGAGCTACGGGAAGGGAAGTCTACCCAACCTTTTCAAAATCTAGAGGACTAAATAACGGTGGTATGTATGCGCATGTAGGGTTGAGGGATTGAAGTTTACGGTTTAGGGTCTCAATAGTGGACAATGTAATGGAAATTCAGTTGGCCAATAAAACAGAAACTGGGCTTACCTGGTGGTGGTCTAGAGGGATTTTGAAGGCCAGGGGCCTAAACAATGCCTAGAATAAGGCTTTGGGGTAGATTAACACTAGATCTATGCAATAATTCTGGGGGATTAACCCTGACAATTTACATACCCTAAAACCGAGGGCAGGTTGGAGGGGCCCTATACGAAACAAATACCTGAAGCCTTGGGTACTGCCCCCCCTCCGTAACAGTTGGATGCTAATTAGAATAGGGTTATATATAGCCCGTATAGACTGTTACTGGATGGGGGCAGTACCCAACCTGAAGCATTTGACAATTTGTGCACACAGGTCTTCAATCATCATTGCATTTTGGCGGGCATGTGGCCATGCCGGCTGCTTGTCCCTACCTGTGGTCATTTAGGGTCTTGGTGGCCTCAACGAGCTATGTCACATGGCTCCCAAAGTTGTAAGTTTAGCAATATAGTAATATTGTAGTAATTATGGCAGTATAGCAATATAGGAATATTCTAGTAATATGGCAGTTATAGGAATAATCATATGGTAATTATACATGATGTAGCGATATAGGGTTTGGGTTTAGGAACTTACCAGTAGGTTTGCCTGCCGGGCAGATAGACTTCGAAGGAGACGCCTGGAGCATCACAAGAAATGCCGGGACCAGTTTAAGCCTTATGATACTCCGCTATACAGCCCGCCTGTAAGGAGTTTAGACCATAGTACATCAACCCTAAACCCATGTTGTTTACAGTGCTCCATGAGCCTTTTCATCCTGTCTTGATGTATCAGCTTCCATAGGTGTAGGGTTTTCTGGGGCAGGTTTGGAGATGCTTTTTTACAGTCTCATTACCTTCAATCCCTTGAAATCATTATAAGGCGCACCAAGCCCTACATCCTTCCTGCCAGGCTACGGGCACATGAGGTTGCCGACCATCCAGATACTGCCGCGCAAGGCGGCCAAGGGCTCAAACTGAGCCATTGCCAGGCCGGGCGGGGAACTAAGCACTGTGCCTTGGCTTCTGGGCTTAGACCTAAACCCTAAACCCTAAGCCCTAAACCCTAAACCCTAAGCCCTAAGCCCCGAACCCTGGGAAGGTCTAAGGAAGAAACGCAGCTAGAATTGGAGAAAGCATGCAGGTACTAGCACAGACAGCCATGCCTTGGCTGACAAGACCTAGAAATGTATATATATATATACATGTATATGTATATATACCCACACACACACATATATATAGTGTGTATATCTATATACACGTTTATACGTATAAATGCATATATACATGTGAACACGCATTTATGACTACATACATATGTATAATGTGTTTGTGCGCGCGTGTGTGTTGGTGTGAGATGTATATACATAATATATATATATATATGTATGGATGTGTTTACATACGAAAACAAAAAATATCTATGAATCCATGCACCATGAGGAAATAAGGGTGCGGTGTGCAGAACGGAGGACGGTGGTCTAGGTTTATAGGCACTGAACAGTCACCGAAAAAAGGGATAGGGAATAAATCTAGATGTACAAGGAAAGGAGCTATGGTCTAAACTCCTAGTATCCCCGCAATAACCCCAATAATACTCCTCCATAAAATCCTCTCTATCTTTAAATAGTTCAGGCTACAGCTCGAACAGGGATACATCACATGTAGAGCCTGATCTGATCTCTTAAGGGTCCCAAGTACCTCAACAATTGAGTTAGTTCACAAATACTACAAATCTGCATGGCTTTGGGTATCTAAAACACCCAATAGCCGTGCATTTGGACCGTGAAGGCGTGCTAGCAGCCTTTAAATGCGAGAGTTTGCCTCAGATAATATGACCTAGGGTTTGGCGTGGAAACTATTTACTAACTAGGACCTGCTATACGGGAAGTCCTATGTAACTTCGATCGGAGGCCCTTCGCAGGAAAATAACTACGAGACCCCCTTTCCAAACAGGATTGGGCCTCCAAGTTCAAGCCTCTTGGTTCAGGGCAGGTTACTCCGAGACCGTATAATCTGTATAATTAAACTCCTACTATTGGGCAGATATTTTAGTGCATAGTTACTCTACAGCCCGTTAATCAAAGTACCTATTCTCTCGTAGGGGAATGGGAGTTACAATTGGACCAGCACAACGCCCCTTTTGTAGACGTTTACGGGGAATGACTCCCTAAACGGTAAACCGCAGCCCGATCAGTATTACATTATTGTACAGTTGGAGCATAGGCCTGGCGAAAAAAGACTTGCTAACCACTAACCCGTAGAGCCTTGCCTGGACTCCTCTGGATAACCTGCTTGCAAACTTACTTGCAGCTACAGATGTCTTAAGGTTATAAACTTACCCTGAGCTGCTTACTCTGTATTACACAACCTGAAAGGATTCAGGGTTTAGGGGGCGAACATAATCCTATCGAGTCTCAGCTCGTGCTGCCGAGGTACCTGTAAGCAGGCCCACAAAAAGAATGCCGATGGACATTACGGCCGAGAAGAAGATGCCGTCACCGATATCAATGCCTCTCACAGACATGAGGAACAAGAAATCCTAGTATGAAATCCTGTACCAAAAATCGTTTGCTGGCAGGGCCTGCAATCTCTGGATATACAATCTCTTCCTTCCAATTGATGACGGTATAGCCCTACAGCTCAATCATAAGCGTTTAGGGTCACCACGGGCGCCAGTACCTTGATACGCTGAGGACCCTATTCCATCAAAAGAAAACTTGTTCAACTCCTACATCACCAAAGCCCAAAACCAAAGACTCAACACCCTGCAGCGACGAAAACCCAAAGCTCCAAAACACGCAAACCTCGACACGCTAATGCCCCAGAAACCTTACAACCCCAACCCCACACTCCAAAACTCCACTGAAAAACCTACCAACCTCAAACACTGAAAGCCTTAAACCCTCACAGCTAGACTGCTGAAACCCTAAAACCCCCGCACCCTGGAACCTAAAAACACCTTGCAAGTTCAGAGCACTGCAGTCTTAAAGTCCCGGCGGAAGTTTATTACAAAACGCTGGTGTCATCTACAATAGCTACAAAGGGATATAAGTAACAACCTAGCTTTGCCTAGTAAACCCATGCAAACTATGTAAACCAATCTAACCCTAAACCCTAAACCTTAAACCCTAAAGCAACCCTGAACCCTAAAACCACCAGTTTAGTTCAGGAGAGAAGGCCTTTCACTGGCAAGAAGTTGATACCGAAACCGATTCCTGCAACCAGACAGCAGGTATATCCCAGAGTCACGTCTGTCACCATTTTTGCCTGGGCTGCTGGTTTAGGGTTTAGGGTTTGGGGTGTTTAGGTTGAGGGTTATCACTGTACTTGGACGCCCAGGAGACTTAGTAAGTAGGTTATGATTCCGGTTCTAAGTTCCCGACTTAAACCCGCCACATTCTTACCTGCTTACTAAATTACTGGGCTCGCAAGAAGGCTCAAAATCATGGATTTTAACCACAGTGGGAATACATGACTGTCTGCCCCACTGACTGTAAAAACCTACTATTTTTACTTCTCATCGGTGGCCCGGTTGCGTGAACGGGCGCAGCCGTGCCAATTTCTTGAGCCGGTTCTGCGACAAGTAAACACCATGGTTTAGCATGTTCTGAGAAATCCCTCATCGCATTTCCACAGGTAACCATGCAACTGCAACTGTTAGATCATGCTACCGGGCAACCCTAAACCCTAAGCCCTATACGCTAGAACCTCACCCACACCCACGGAAGGGGCATAACTCGTGCAACCTAAATGTGACGGAAATTGTGCCATGATATCTGCCAACAAAATCTGGTAGTTCCCCCAAAATAGGGTACCCCAATATAGGCACCAATGTACTATAGTCCTTAATATAGGGACCCCCGAAAGGTACCCCTAATTTTGGGAAGCCACCATATCTTGCGATCACCTAAATTTCCTTGAAACACCAGCCTTGTAAATCATCGCTTCAACACCTTCAAGGGGTACCATACGAACATCTTAGTTGGAGGGTCATTGGGACTTCGTAAGTAGGTCAATGATGGGAATAACTAGGGGTACTATATGGGTTATAGGGGTTATTAACCTACTTACTAAGTCCCTCTGACCCTCCAGGTAACCACAACCAAACCGAACTTAGACCCTACTTAACTTTGCCCTGAACCCTGGCCTTACTGGACCCTGAAGCCTAAGATCTAAACCGTAAGCCCTGAACTCTCCAACCCCTAAATTCGGGACCTTACACTCAGATTCAGGAGCCGTCTTGTCAGGGCTCCCCGCGCATCGCTTCCACATGAGCGCGTTGCGCGTCGCTTCCGTGGAAGCCACCCCGAACGCCCGGGGAAGCCACGTAGCCTGGCTCAGTCTACTGCATGGATTTACATACTGAGGCTTGAAAGGGAGTGGGGAAGTGAATATAAGTACCGCTACTGGGGATTGCGTAGGCAATGTTCTGCCCGCTCCCCCACACCCGGTTCAACACCAGAACATGTCGTAGAGTTCAACATTCAGGGTGGCACGGGGTATATGGCTGGAGGGCATGAAGTCTGGCAGAAGGTGTGGCTGATGACAAGCTTGTTCTGTTGCTTGAACCCAACCACGTGCCAGAGTCTGGTTGCTGTTAAGGAACTTAAGTTAAGTTACTATAATAAGGAAACCCCACTACTACTTACCATATAACCCTAGTATGGTAACTTAGAACCCTAAACCCTACACCCTAAACCCTGTACACTCATATTATGGCACCTTAAATCCGTAAACCTTACACCCTATATACCCATATTATGGCACCTTAAATCCCTAAACCCTACGCCCTAAACCCTATATGCCCATACTAGGGCACCTTACAAACCCTAAACCCTACACCCTAAAGCCTATATACCCATATTAGGGTACAGTAAATCCTTAAACCCTATAATATGCCCATGTTATGGCACCTTAGATCCCTAAACCCTACACCCCAAACCCGATGTACCCAAATTACGGTACGTTATATCCCTAAATTCTAAACCCTGGCCCCACGGACTTAAGGTTTAGGGTTTAGGATTTAGGGTTTAGGGCCTCGGGTTTAGGATCTAGGGCTTAGGGCTTAGGATTTAGGGACCCTAAACCCCAAACCGATAGTTCTGTAGCGGGACTGCGGTGCAAATTAAACAGGGAATGTAAAGCGGGAGAATAGGGCCTGTGAGGCTGAAACGATAATCATGCTGCACCCTGGAAGAATTTTTAGGGTTTAGGGTTTGAGGTTCAGGGTTAAGGGCTTAGGGTTATGGGGACTCTTGTAGCCTATTGGAGGGTAGTATTGGGACTACCTATGGAAGAAAAATGACGCTCTTGTGGGTCCCCTGTATACGAAGCCGCCGAAGACTTACCCAAACAAGAACCAGACTTTTGACAGCCGCCTATGTGGATCCATGCCTCTTAGTTTTTAACCCAAAGCCTTGGTTTAGGTCATGAATGGGATGGTTTCAAGGAATTAGTACAGTTGGTGAATAGTCCTATAAGCCGTATGGTATCCCTGGTCAGTACTAGAATTTACTCAGGCAGACCCCCTGACTGACCATCCCAGCAAGTACTGTTATACCGCTATAAACCCGAACTTAGACCCAGTTGTCACTTCATTCTTCCTTTTCTGCTCCATTAGATTCTCCATTATTCGACACTATTTACCTATATCCCCCTGACTCTCTGAACCCTAAACCCTAAACCCTATCTGCCTACATCCCCCTGAAGCTCCAAGCAGTTCACACTAAAGGAAAACAGTCGGCAGAGTCACGCGACACCTCATACCACCTCTTGAGCCCGAGAAGCCTAATATAAAACCACCCACCAGGACCCCGAGGGTTTAGGGTTCAGGGTCAGTTTATTTAGATCCTGCTTGTATGAGTAGGTTTTTTTGTGGTTGAACCTAGTAAGATTATATTCCTTATATAAAATACTATACCCCAAGAGGAGGAGGATATAAACTTACTCTATAATGGGTACCATAGTATCCCCAGATAAAATACCAATCATATGGTCTTTGTACATGGTACATGGGGGGTTCCGGGCATGTGCTAGAGCGGTGGATGTCGAGGACTGCCGGCTCGGAACTTTGCCCCCCCTTGTTTCAGGGTTTACTTGGAGGGTCATGGGGACTTAGTAAGTAGGTTATTAACCCCTATATCCCATCCCCGAACCCTAAACCCTACACCACAAAACTCCAATCTCCATTATTTACCGACTTACCAAGTCCCCCTCAAGTAGGGTTTAGGGTTTCAGGCCATAAGGGCGGTCGCCCTAGACGCTATGAACCCTAGACACAAGACCCCAAACACTGAACACCAAACCCTAAAACCCAAACCCTAAAACCCAAACCCTAAAACCCAAACCCTAAAGCCCTAAAACCAAAAACTAAACCCCAAACCCTAAAAACTAAAAACTAAATCCTAAGCCCCGGTTTCAAACCTAATTGGGGAGTCCGGCCGGTTTTGTAAGCATGTCAATACTCGGGACATCTGGGTCATTCTCGTCTTGCAGAAGGCTTTAGGATACTTACTATTCATAGGCCCCTGAGCCCTAAACCCAAAGCCCTCAAGATAGTTAAAGTTTCAATTTCTCTTCCATTTAAGCACGCAGCCCCCCTGACCCTAAACCCTCAACCCTACACTCTAAACCCTAAACCCAAAACCGTAAGCTACCCATCTGGCCTGAAGAAGGCTTTTCAGGCGGAGGTCGGCCTCTGAATGCTTGCGGCATGCCCGGCTGAGAGCGCGGGGCTCAATATTTCGGATTTGAGTCATAATCTCAACTGCGTAAAGGGGCGGCTATATAGGATTTAGAGTTTAGGGTTCAGGGTTTAGGGTCTAAACTCCTTGGAGGGGGGTTGTATAAGGGCTTTTCTAGGGGAGTATAGGGGTTGTTAAGGGGGATACTAGGAGTTTAGGCTATGGCTCATTTGGCATCTGGGTGTAAGACTCAGGGTTTAGAGTTTAGTGATTTGCAAAACCCTAAGGACCCCGGTACTCAAATCCTAGCGTTTTCAGGTACCCGAAACCATTCAGATTATGGTACTAAGGGGAATCTAAAGCCGGATTATTTACGCGTGTGGACTCTCAGGGAAACATTTCAGAGAGATGCTCACTCCCTAAGCATGGAAATGTAGGCTTTCCCAAACCTACCAAATGATGTAGGATGCCAGGCAGATATATTGCTGAACATGAGTGTTATCTGCCGTCATCGTTTTAACAGGCTGCAGGATAACCTTGTCCGGGCTAGGTAGGACCTGCTCTTGTTCGGTCCAGGTCCAAGAAAAGAGCAGGCTTCTTATGATTCCGGCTGCGCCGGGTGTAATTGGGTAACTTGTATTGTGGGATACAGCATTTGTGACCTGGGGACCTGGTGTAAGGGCCCAAGACTTGTTGGGTCAGGGCGCAAAACCTGTTGGACCAGCGTTGCCGTTTGTCAGTGTTATCCGCGCTGTCTTTCAGAACCCTAAACCCTGAACCCTAACACCTTAAAACCTATTTTAAAGCCTGGCCTTTGGAGTTTCGGGCGTAGGACGTGCTTGTAGGATCAAGTTGGCCACCGCAAGTTTCCTTCGTGCGCTCCTTTTTCCTAATAACCAAGACAAAATCTTTGTGCCTGCCGAACTTACTGCTCCTTAGTTGAAGAAAGGGAATCTAATCCCTATATAATCCCTAGGTCGTATGTTTGCTTATTCCCTACTAAGAACCAATAAGCAAAGAAACTGCCAAAGGCCGAATCCTTGCCATAAGGATACCGAAGAGAGGCCTCTATCCTGACCCTGCTATGAAGTTCCTTTCTTGGCAAGCCCAAAAAAGGAGCTAAACACATAGGAGGTTTTGGTTAGTTCATAGAACTCCACTAGGTTCCCCAGTAGACCCTGAACAATAAGGGTACCCTTTTTCTATTGATCAGCTTTAATAAGGAGACCCCAAAATGCAGAGGGAAAAGGGTACTACTGGGGTACCTAGTCCAAATCATGCGGAACTGCACCTCCACACCACCTGACATAGGCACAAGTACTTACAGGGTCCATATACGTACATAGTATCTTAGCCCACATTACCCTAGGATCCTTTACATAAGTATAAGGAATCCCATACCCCAAAACTATAAAGGATCCCTAACATTGATCCACGTATATACTTGGCGCCCGAAAGGGTTCACACATACTTACTTTGAAGCCCAGGTATATACTATGTAGCTACATGGAAGCTTTGGGTTAGAAACCCAACCAAGAGTCAGGGTCAAACCCCATGCCCAAGCAACTGAACTGTGAA